CAAACAGATGTACCATATACCTGGCACACACAGCTGTGTCATATGTCCATGTGTTAAGATTAAGTAAATTTGTAATCTTATTCCAAGTTTGACAAGAGGTTTAGTCTGCCTCAGGAGCTTGAATTAAGTTTCTTATATTATTCCTAGCTTACCCCAGGGTTAATATCAACTTATGATATTATTTTTAGAAAAAATGCAGTCCTCCAGAGTTGAGCCTTCCGTGGGGTTTAAATCAAGTTTACAATTTTATTCCTAGCCTACTACAAGAGTTATAGCAAGTTTGTAATCTTTATTCCTAGCTTTCCCTAGGGTTTATAATTAGGTCAAGTTCATAATCTTTATTCCTGGCTTGCCCTCAAGTTTATAATTACCCAGGTCAAGTTCATAATCTTTATTCCTGGCTTGCCCTCGGGTTTATAATTACCTAGGTCAAGTTCATAATCTTTATTCCTAGCTTGCCCTACGGTTTATAATTAGGTCAAATTCATAATCTTTATTCCTGGCTTGCCCTAGGGTTTAGATCAAGTTTGTTATATTCCTAACTTGCCCAAGGGGCTTAGATCAATTTGCAATCATTTTATTCCAATCCTGCCTGAGGGTTTAGATCAAGTGCATTATCACCCTGCCTCAAGGCACTTCGATCAAGTTTTAATTCTTATTATCAAATAGGCGCTCCCCTTTCTTGTATTTTAAGTGATTATTCCTTGCCTGCTGCACCAGTGTTTAGATTCAGTATGTAGTATTATTCCAAATTTTGACTTGAAAGATTGAATTTCTGGATATTTTGCACTAACACTTTTACAAAGTTTTTCCTGCATACATAGTATATTTTCTACAATCCATTTCTAAAATTTCTTTAAGTTGTGAATTTGTATGATTTTGCAGTATGATCGTTTTATCAGACTCATGGATAAACTCAAGGACCACACCCTTTGTCACGAGGAAGAAGAGTTCCTGATGTCGTTTAGGAAACCCTTGATATCAACACTTGTGTACAAACATATGGCAGTAAGTTTTTAGGTCACCTGAGACGAAGTTGTCCTATTATATATATATATATTATAAATCAGAAGAATCTCCTAGAAGAGATGAAAGTACTAAAGACTTGTTGTTAAGATTTTTCTTTTTATAATATATATATATATATATTGCAATCACGTTTTGTCTGACGTCATCCGTCGTGCATTTATAAACAATTTACATTTCTGTCTTCCACTCTATAACCATTTGAAGGTTCCATGGTCAAAAACATTTCTGGTTACCCACTGATGGGTGACACCATGGGCATGTCAATTTTCTAACATAAGTTCATGGCAATTGTTTTTCTGATCGGAAACGGGACCAATGTACGGTACATTCCAAAGAGAAACATATGGGTTTCTGGCTCCCCAAACTCATGATGGTTGATTATAATGTTTATGATGACCCCCACGTCCAATAAGGAAATCAAATCCTGGCCGCCTAGTTGGTGAAAGGCAAGCATACTATCCATTGTCCAACAAAAAATAGTATCACCCCAGGGAAAGATTCCATTATCAATAAGTCTCCATAAATTCAATGATGTCGTAAATCTCACTTGGCAGATATTTTCATCAATCTTTGTATGCATTGTTCCTATGATGGCCCCCATCATGTTTAGTTTTGTCGTATTTTTTGCTAATTTGAAATCTAAAAGTATGACCTTGAAACTATGTTGTCTCAGTGATATTTTTGGACTTGTCCCAGTCTTTAGTTTTGAAATTATCATACAGCAATGTATAGTTACTCTGAGCTTGTTTTTATTTTAGCCTGAAGTTGACGATGATGGGGAACTCTATTATCCTGGTGAAGGTATGCTATAAGTAACAGGTTTACTGATTTTACCCATTACCTTATATATGTCTACCTGATTGCTCCCAAACCTGGACATACTGAGGTACTTAATCTAACTATGACCACCTTATACTGCTTCCAGCCTAGCTACTTCTGACTTGATTTCCTAGTGCCTTGCTTGGCATCACCTCACTTTTGGCTTTAATGTTGAGTGTTTGCCCAGGTGAGGAAGGCAATGTGTTCTGACCCTAGGTTGGGACATGCCAAAGTCCTTCAAAATGGTAGTTGTTACTACCTGCTTATTGTTCAGTATTTAGGGGAACGGCAACAACTGGTTCACCTGTTGTCAGTATGTGACCGGGCGGAATGCTGTGCTGGGTGCATTCGGCATGGTATTTCAGTGAGGTAGCACTATAAAGTCGGCATCAGTTCCGCGCTTTCACAAGGAGGCAATTACACCAACATACCCTGTCTCCAGACACACACATGCACGCATACACAACACACATGGAGGCACATCCTTAAATGACCTTAGCTGTTAAAAGGACGTTAAACAAAATAAATTCAAACCAAACTGAATCAAACTACATCATATCCCTGCTATCTAACACCAATCCACCATCAACATACAACCCTCAATACACCATCCCTCCAGCACCTCCAGTCTTAAATACCATCCTCTCCGTTGCCAAAAACAACCCTAGCCTGCCATTCCTTCTCCACTTCTAGTATCAACTCATCACCCTCAATATATCAACCCGTCTCCATTTACAGCCTAAAACACATTCATCTCCCTGCCATCCATCCCTATTCTGCCATCCTCAAATCTCCGTCTATCCATCATCCTTTCTCCAATCTTTAGGCTCCACATACCACCCCCAATACGTCATCCCTTTTCCAATTCCACCATCAGTCCATCTTTGATATCCAGGAGTTACGCTCACTCTCAATCTCTGCACCCCTGGAATATATGTCATAGCAAAATTGAAGGCACACGGCTAGCTATTTGTTTGATGTCAGGTAAAATATCCTGACCAATCGCTAGACTGATACCTTTTTAGCCCACCATCATCTGATTTCTCAAGAAGTACCAGAGGGATCTTTCTCAAATTTTATATGTAGGTTCCCCTTGGTCCTAGCTGTGCAGGGCAATTTTAGAGACTGATCGGATAAACAACATGGCCGACAGGCAGCCATCTTGGATTTTGATAGTGAAAGTTTGTTATCGCTATTTCTCGGGAAGTACGGGAGGGATCTTTCTCAAATTTTAAATGTAGGTTCCCCTTGATCCCTCGTTGTGTATGTTATATTTTGAGACTGATCATAAAAACAAAATGGATTAAAAGAAGAACTTAACAGATCTTTCTCATATTGCAATGATCGATTCTATTTCTTTCACATTAAGTACTGTACTAGTAAATATGTGAAATGACAAACTCACTTTGAAGGTTGGCTTTCATACACATCAGTATTAAGTTTAGATCAAAAGTTACCTCAAGGTGCATTTACTGTTAACATGACTCGATCAAACAGATTAGAGGAAAGAAGAGAAAAGATCGAACTGACAAAGAACTAATGAAGATGGTACAAAGGTGGGCGCCAAGATCCCTCTGGGATCTCTTGTCTTTAAGGATTACAGAGGAGCGACACCTGACTTCAAAGCCAGTAAGTTTTACCATTACGCGGCCGCAAGATCCTTTTGATGTACCTCAGAGAGTCAAACTAGTCTTCTCGTCCCATCCACAAGGTGCTGCACACCAAGCCTCTGATTTTGCCATGACATATTCCAGGGGTACAGAGCGCGTACGGGGAGCATGACCCCTGGATATTGATGATGCCATGAGTCACACTCTTCCTCTCTTGTTCATCATGCTCTACCATCAACATTACCATCCCTCCTCACTCACATCCTTGACACATCACACACCAACCCACTCCCGATTTCTCATTTCAGAATTGGCCCCACCTATCATCACACCCATTCAACTAAGCTTGACTGTATTCTCCTTTACACAGTTACCAACCTCTATCCAGTCCCAATCTTGAAGCCCTCAACCTTACTCACCACTTTCCTCTCAATAGGCTAAACCTACTTGTACTTATCCCCTTCTCTCTACCAATTTTTACTAAGCTAGCTCAAATCCATTGCCCCACAAACCCTCAGCCCCAAGTCATTGCTACTCCCTCCTACACACATTCCCACTGTCTACACCCTGTATTCACTTTCACATTTGGCCATTTCTTTTCTGTTGACAGGTTCTCGAAAAAGTTGTAAAGCATCGGTGAAGGTGTATCTCAACGGGACAGGAAAGTTTGATATCAACGGGAAAGACATACTATACTTCAGTGATCTTACACACAGGTAAGTGTTGACGCAGGAAACCTGTATAAATGACAAGGATTCACATGTGCTGCAGTGACTTTAAGTACAGTTTACTCCAGGAACACATTGATCCTTGCTCCACACATCTCATGACGTGAATTTTTTCTACCATTCACAGATCATCTGTTGTTTTACTTATTCAAGATTTCTCTGTCACCCCTTAGGGTGCCATTTCTCTGTCACCCTCTTGGGCAAGACAGACAGCACCATGACTTCACATCATAAAAATATTTTTAAGGAGCAATAAGATGACGCCATGGGACCAGTAACACATGACATCACAATCAGCTTTCATTAGACAAGAGCATGCAGAAATTGGTGGGAAAACCCAAGATCACAAATACCAGTTACCATTATCCTGGAACATCAATGGGATGATGGACAAATAATTATCCCCAGTACAGGGAATGCCCGAGAAATCTCAACCCTTGGGATGAGATTCTTGATTGTGTAACCTTAATGGCTTTTAGCAAGCCTTGAGTTAGACAATAAAGAATATCACCTCCTTCTTGGGTTGATATTTCTAAATCATACCTTCATGATAGGGATAGATTATATAGAGAATAATACATGCCTTTTTCCATATCACACCCAGTATCAACCCGAGACTCCAATATCAGCCCAAGGGCCGAAGGTTGATACCGGGTTTGAATGTGGAAAAAGGCATGCTTTATTCTGTTTATTACATACTTACTAATAAAAGCTACTATCTTATGATATATTTTTCCTTTTGAAATATTGAAAAACGAAAAATGTCGAAAAGGGGTGTGATACGGGTTTTTCGGGCTGATATGGGTTTTGGGGTGTGATACGGCGGGGGCTGATACAGCTTTTGGGGATTGATACGGCGAGGGCTAATATGTGTAAGAGCAATTGTGTCGTATCGCATATGCAAAAAAAAGTATTTATTAGTAAGTATGTAATAAATTGATGTACTGTAGGCCTCAGTTTTATCAAGTGGTATAATTCACTTAATATTGCATAAAGGTGAAATTTGAATCTGTCGTAAACATTGTAATTGTAGTGGCTGGCTAGCTAGGCCAGTTGTTATCAGAATGTTCATCGAGAATTTTCAAGGGTGTTGGTAAAAGTAACCCTCAGCTGTGACATCAGTACAATTATGTACATCAATTGTACATTGTGATAACAACAACAATACAGAGAATTGTCATAAAAATGGATACCAGTCTGTTGTTCTGATGACGGCTGACCAAGCCAGCCAAAACTTCTAAACCGTAAATAAACTACGGAATCAAGATATTGCTGCTCCTTCTGTTTAAAATTTGTGTTTATATCCCTTGATGGAGTGCCAGTGAACACTTACGGGTATCCATCGTAGATTCCTCCGATAATCTACTTACGACCCTCAACGACCAGGATACTGATTCTCTCCTCCTTTTAGGGGCCTTATTAAAAAAACTATGTTTATATTAAAACTTTTGCAATTTTAAAATTATTACAATGAAATGTCCTGAGTTTCAAACTTATTAAGTGCAAAATAATATACCTAAAAATACTTATTCATTTTGGACGAAAGAAATTAAGAAAAAAAAATTAATCCTATTTTAATACATTGTATTAACCTACTAACTCATTCACCCCTGGAATTTCATAATGAACTATTCCAACCTTTGAATTAAAAGAGTTCAAATGTGTCTTCAGGGGTGAATGAGTTATGTTGTTATGTTAGTTGTGGTATTGACTATATTTTCATGCACTGTTCTTTGTCACAGGGAGCAAATTATGACTCCGTTGGTGGTCTGTAACCTGCTAGGGAAAGTGGATGTGTATGCCACAACTATTGACGGAGGACCATCCGGTCAGTCTGGGGCCATCAGACTGGCAATCTCTAAAGCCATGGCCGCATACGTCGATGAGACTACCAAGACACGCTTGATGATCGGTAGGTGTAATAGGAAGACCAGGGCCTCTTTCACGTATCCGGTTCAACTGGTTTGTCAGTATTTTAATGTAACTTTTTCGGGTATAAATCCTGGCAGACCTGCAAATATTTATGCAAGCCTTGCAAGGCTTTTTCAAGGCTTGCCTGAAAGTAGCACCTCGGGTACATTCGCGTATCCAGTTGAAACGGTTGAACCGGTTGAACCTGTAAAGAAAACGACGGGTACAGATCTGAACCGAGGCTGACCTCAGGAAAATTTGGCACGTGTAGATTGAGGGGTCCAGACGTACCTGGCCAAAACTAAAATGCTGACTATTGCCAGTTTGCGTGAAAGAAGGGCCTTATATTCTTGATACATTGTTTTTTATTCTCCGAAACTTTGCATGTTTAGCTCTGCTTATAGAAGGTCCAATTGCGTTCGTTTATCGTGGAAAATTTCTGCGCCACACGTACCGTTTCAACCGGGATACGCGAATGTAGCCCAGATTATATTACTAGGTCCGACCTTATTGCATAAACAAACAACCCTTTGGAACGCGATAAATGAACGGGCCCCGTTCTACTGCTGCTATAATACGTTGGAGGATTTCTTTCGATGTGTTGTAGACATATCGTATTAGACATGCCTCTTTCCTTGTCGTGTGTATGGTCTGTAGTAGGGTTAGTAAACCTAACAATACAAGATTTCAGACACTCCTTCCATTTAACCCTTTCACCCCTATGTAACTTTAGTAAACTCTACTTTGCATTGATCTAGATGAGTCCATTTTGGTCTATAGTGGTGAAAGGGTTAAGTTATAGGTTGTTCTCAGCAAAATAAGTGTGAGGTTACCCATTCAATAGTGAATAAAAAACGATCAAACAATACCTGGTAAATGTTCGTAAATTACAGACTGCAGTTATTTTCATAAGGCAAATTGTTAAAAAAAAAAATCACACCAAGATATATTCTTCAAATAGCTTGGGGTAGTAGTTCCCATGGCAATGATTTCACATTGTCGGGAAATATTGAACAAAGAACACATTATAAATAGATGTTGTGGTGACCTTGACCTTTGTATTTTACAGCCGGACTCCTGACCCAGGATCCAAGGAAACGAGAGCGAGACAAACCAGGACAAGAAGGAGCCAGGCGGAAATTTGCATGGTTGGTTAGATTGTTTTACTACCCATCAAATACTCCTCGGTTTTATAAAGCATATAACTCGTCAAAAATACATATTTATCAAAGGAAATACGAGATACTGTATATTGGATAATTTACGTGGGCTTAAAATTTTGTCGATTTGGACCAAAAAAGTACAGAATTAAATTTACCCAGATTATAATTTCGCGATCTAGACATGTGAGGGAACTAAATTATTGTGATGTCTTTGCATAGAAACGGGACATTTAGCATATAATGTGTCCAATAGTCAAATATATAGGCTTCATTGCAGCATATTGAGCAGCAAAAAGTATAAAGCGTATTTTGTTAAATAAATCATCAACAAAACTATAAGATGTATGATATAACCTATTTTCAATCATCGTTACTTTTTATATATGAATTGTCACAACCACATGCATTCTATTTCATGATGACATTAGGGTTATGAAGTTTTATCACTTTACGCTTGCCATATTTTCTGCCTATCATAATTTAGCGATCACATCATTGACCTGCAAAATTGCAAAAATATCATCCCCAGGTAAATATCCTACTGTAACGTCAGCCACCATCAGCGTGTGATTTACCAAGATGGGCTCCTAAGTACTAATAGTGTTGGGAATCGGTTGAAACTTTATGATCGATCACCCTCTTAACAAACTGATGATCTATGAATATCAGTTTTCAAGAAAGACATTGTGAAATCTGCCATGCTGTAGCTGTGGGCTGCTAGCACAAATAAAAACAAGACCCGAGTTGTGAGGATTACCTCCTTAATTTCAAACACTGAGTCAGTAATATATAGTCCTAAGAGGCGTGGCCGGACTTTAAAGTGATATAGTTTGGGAGAGATAATGTGGATATACTGCGACACATTCAACTAATCTGAAAACTCGTTACTACACATCAGGCTAAGTGTTGGCTAGACATATTGCTTGTAATAATGACAATCTTTAATCAGGAACGAGACAACAGATACGTTTAGCGAAGTTTATTTGCAAAGCAGCCTGAAATTTATGTTTAGGGGTACCACTTAAGAAAAACCCTTGGGTAAAAACACTCAAGTTTAACAAATTTATTTCAGTATTTATAATGTTAATTATTTTCATTTCCAACGTTTTCAGGCGAAAACGATAACCTGGAACACAGACATTTGTTATGGATTTTTTCTTCTTCAAAACACTGGATTTCATGTCAAGGTGATATCAACTGCCAGCTGCTGTGTTTCTTAAACAAATCGACCTTGAAGCATCAACTGAGGAGTCGCCGATGAACAAGAGGAAGAGAAGTGGAATGTGAAATTGTATTTGGTTGCCAGTGAATACCATGTAAAATATTTTAAGATTATATTGCCAAAACCTTATTGTCAGTTATCTTTTGATATATATTTTATCACCCAAAGAAACTTCAAAACTTAGAGCCTGTTTTCCTCAAACATTGTCATGCTCAAACACAGACTCTGTATTCAAGCTTACAATATGTTGTATGTACCTAACCTTGTAGCCGAGTGTGATTCCAATATTAAATTTGTGACCCTGTCGTGGGACTTTGAAGGGCTTACCTTGTAGCCGAGTGTGATTCCAATATTAAATTTGTGACCCTGTCGCGGGACTTTGAAGGGCTAACCTTGTAGCCGAGTTTGATTCCAATATTAAATTTGTCACCCTGTCACAGGACTTTGAAGGGCTAACCTTGTAGCCGAGTTTGATTCCGATATTAAATTTGTGACCCTGTCACAGGACTTTGAAGGGCTAACCTTGTAGCCGAGTTTGATTCCAATATTAAATTTGTGACCCTGTCACAGGACTTTGAAGGGCTTACCTTGTAGCCAAGTGTGATTCCAATATTAAATTTGTGACCCTGTCGCGGGACTTTGAAGGGCTTACCTTGTAGCCAAGTGTGATTCTAATATTAAATTTGTGACCCTGTCACAGGACTTTGAAGGGCTTTACTTGTAGCCAAGTGTGATTCCAATATTAAATTTGTGACCCTGTCACAGGACTTTGAAGGGCTTTACTTGTAGCCAAGTGTGATTCCAATATTAAATTTGTGACCCTGTCACAGGACTTTGAAGGGCTATAAGAAAGATGTCTTAAGTTTGAGCATGAGAACGGTGTTATGAACACAGGGTCTAGTTTCCTTCGACAGACAATTGTACAGCATTATTTGTAAAGACTAATTGCCATCACAGAGAGACCTTTACCAAACCATCAAGAAAGTACAGTATATAATTTATATACAAAGTATTCTGGTTAATATACCTTCTGATATTATCAAACATTAACTGATAGAAACTAGATTTAATTTTATATTATCTAATGAAATGTGTTTTGTCTCATCAAAATATGTGAAAGATGTTCTTACTCTAAAGTTCCTCCCGAAATGAAATTAAAAATCATGCATCTTAGAATCCTAAGGTTCTGAAAGGTATCTATATAAGGTTTATTGTGAACTATAACTCCCTGTGCGTATTACCAACGCATTTACATCAAGAATTGATAAAATAAGTAATTTGAAGCACATTTGTGACAGATGAAGTTGTCGTTGATATCTTAATGTTCCTGTGAGTGAAAAGCAGCTTCTGGTTGAATTTGTGTTGAATATAAAAGAATGGAAGTATAATAAATGATGTGATGATTTATGTTGTTTTTCTTCTTCCTTCTTTGATCTTTTCACTTCATAATGTGTTTGTAAAAGAAGAATAAGTCGCGTAAGACTAAGTTTGAAGTTAGTCAAAATCTGTGCATAATTGATACGGTAATATGATTTTATGTAAACTTTCTATTTTTTACAACAATTCTGAAACAGGTTATATTATTTCAGCTTATATTAATCACTCTTGTTGGCCTGGATGTTAGAACGGAGGGGGTCTTCATTTAGGAGGAAACTGGAGTACCCGGAGAAATCCCCCCGTGGTCGGGCTGCAGATGACCCATACCTTTTTATGTCCGATTGTATTACCAGTAATTACCACATCACCATTTCTACACAATATTATTAAATAGAAATTAAATACAACAGGATTCTGATGAAATTTGACTGGCATTTATTTATATAATACAAAAACATAGGCAAAGTTTATTTTTTTTATTTTTTATGTGTTTTACGTCCTAGAATCAGCTATGGTTATTTAAGGACGTGCCAGGTTTCCCCATGTAGGTTACAATCCCACGACCCAGTGGTGGAGGGCTATTTTATAATTTATAATTTACATATTATACTCAGATTGGTTGATGATTTCAGCACAATAAGTTAATAAAATAAGACCACATTCTGATGAAACTTGGTCAATATTTATATAATTATGTAATATGCTTATAGTTCGAAGTTGAAAATCCATGCTAGCATTGGGCAGGTGTATATCGTTTCATTCCTGCGGTACTCTAGTTTCCATAACAGAAGTGCAGTAGTATTTATCAAAGAAATGTAATAGTCATGTAAACTTAGTCTCGTTATCAGTTACCTTGTTATTAATTCAAATAATTCAACCACTAAATCGAATGTTTTATAGAAAATATGTATGGGTCGGTAATAAGTCGGCACCAAATTCGGCATCTTCAGCCATTGATACGGAGGTGTGTAAGAAAAGATAAGTTTATTTCCAGTTCAGGAATTATGTTATTCCCCTATTCCAGACTCATAAATAAATTGTATAATACATCACAGAAATAGTTACAAAACATAACAAGAGGCCCAATGGTCCTGCATTGCTCACCTGGTATTAATCTCTCTTAAAAGTGGACTAAAATACAGGCAGAATATCAGTGTTCGATTCATAAGAACCAATTAAAAGATTTAAACAAATGATGCCTGTGACCTTGAATGTCGAACAAGGACATTAGGTTGAAAGTGGGTCAAGGTCATTCATTTGAACAAACTTGGTAGTCCTTCATTCCAGCATGCTACAGGCCCAATATCAGTACCCTGGGCCTTTTGGTTATTGAGAGGAAGTTGTTTAAAAGTAAAATATTGACGCCGGACGTCGCACCACTGCACAAGCTCAAGCCTAAAAACAGCTCATTTTCTTTATATATACAAAGTTTGATTGATATATGATTGTAGCTCTGTAGTTGTAGAAAAGTTCTTGATTGTTCCAATGATTGTCCAATTTTTTATTTTTTTTAAAAAGTTAACATTTGGTGCCGATATAACAGTTTCAGGTAATTTACTCCATATTGGTACAGTTCTTATTGAAAAGTAGTGCTTCCTTAGTCTGCTTGTTGCTCATTTTGAGTATATTATCATTGGGTGTATCGTGCTGGTGAATTATATTCCTAATAAATACTTCTATAAATTAGCTTAACATTGTGATTATGTTAATTAGTTGAGCATTATCTGCAGGACTAATATACTGTTCCACCTGATTTTCACCTATTTTCATTACTAAACCAATGCCACGTATAAACAACTCGCAGGATTTCCATGTTCGTTGGTTAGAATTCTCAGTATTGACAAATATTCAATGTAAACTATACTGATATTTGCAGTTTACCTAGGACGAAAACTGTGAATACATGAAAATCAAGTTTTATACAGTACAGTGTACAGTGATACATAAAACTAATTGTAGCTGTGTAGATTTCTGTGATCTGCTATTAACAAAACATAGCTAATTCTCAATTAATGGAACAGGGGAGGTAGGAAGCACCGGTATTAATACACGATGGGTGGTAGGGTCAAATTCAGATCTGCCAACCAAGCATTGTCAAAACATTTTGATATTTGATGGGTGGGAGGGTCTCTGATAATGTGCATCCCACTCCTCCCAAAGGGTTGGTACTAGAACACCCCTTACCTAAAACACATCCAAGTGGAGAACAGTAAAGTTATATGCTACCTTTGTGTCATAGTTATCTCCCCTACATTGTCAAAATCTATTTGTTTATTTACTTGTAAACTTTTCAAATGTTTCCTTAAGTACATTTAGAACGCATCCTTAATTCTATGTTAAAATAAAAAGATCAATCTGATTAGCCTTAAACATTTTAATCAATCAATTGTGTGGTTCCAGCCCACTTCAAACATGACTCACATTCAGTTCACTAACTCAATTCACCCCTGAAATTTCATAATGAACTATTCCAACCTTTGAATTGGAAGAGTTCAAATGTGTCATCAGGGGTTAATGAGTTAATAATGACAGCACACACACCTATCATTTCTTCTCAAATGTACAAATGATCACTTTCCAAACATACCAATATCAGTTTTTTCTTCACTCTGATTTTCATGAGATACATATTTTGAGAAGGACTGTAGTCCTTCTTACCCACATTACCGAATATCTCACACCTGTAGACCATAGGTATGTATAGGTCGTTCTACTGAAAACTGCAATGTGGGGGGGCTTATGTTATAGCCTTTATCGTACCAAAATCGGGACAAAACATCAATTACACATAATGCTCCGAGTCTGCATCAACCCAATTGTACATTTCCACCACAGGAGAGTTCGATAGTGGGTTTCCAGACCATGAAGACACAGACAGGGCCAGCAATAGAGCAAGTCCTAATACAGCCTTTCAAAGAAACCATTTTGAATTCCATGAGCTAAACAAGGCATTTTGTATCCTCTCGCATTTTGTTGACTGTGCAAAATGTCAAACATTTTCGAACAGTTTCACTTTTTCCTTTGAGTACACCATCTGTACTGAGCTGCTGAAGATTTTGTCTCGTCAGCGACTTTCTTTTTCTTTTCTTTTTTAGCCTGTTAAAGAAATGAAAGAAAATGACATCATGGACATGAATTAATATGACTGATCTGAAATAAATGTAAATAATTTGTAAATTTATACACATTTATGAAAGTTTACAGAAGTATATATTCTGATATTCATTGAACATGTTTTTTATGAAACTAAAATCTTCAGAATCTAACCAAAGCACTATTTAAAACAGGTTGGTCTTTTTATGTAAAAATGTTCACAAACAATTTAATACCAATGTCATGAAATTTAGATATAAAATAGACTTGTTTTATAGATATAAAACAAAAACAAATTCAAGGATCCCCATACTGTCGTACCAAACAAATGTAACTAAATATTGGAAACTGTCTTTTACATGACTAAAGATTTAGATAAATCAATTCTGGAAAGAAAACCATACCATGCGGGCCTTTTATGAGGAATAATGAAGAAGAAATAAGAAAATAATATAATTTTGCCTAGTTGATGGAAGTGTTCTGGACCAATCACTCACTTAAGTACACTTGTAAGGTAAAAAAAACAAGCGAGTGAAATATTCCAGCAGTATAGAAAGTGTAAACCAGGAAATATTCCAGCGGTATGGAAAGCGTAAACCATGAAATATTCCAGCGGTATAGAAAGTGTAAACTAGGGAACATTCCAGCGGTATAGAAAGTGTAAACCAGGAAAAATTCCAGCGGTATAGAAAGTGTAAACCATGAAATATTCCAGCGGTATGTAAAGCGTAAACCATGAAATATTCCAGCGGTATAGAAAGTGTAAACCATGAAATATTCCAGTGGTATAGAAAGTGTAAACCAGGAAATATTCCAGTGGTATTGAAAGTGTAAACCAGGAAATATTCCAGCGGTATAGAAAGTGTAAACAAGGGAACATTCCAGCAGTATTGAAAGTGTAAACCAGGAAATATTCCAGCGGTATAGAAAGTGTAAACCAGGAAATATTCCAGCATTATAGAAAGTGTAAACCAGGAAATATTCCAGCAGTATAGAAAGTGTAAACCAGGAAATATTCCAGCGGTATAGAAAGCGTAAACCAGGAAATATTCCAGCGGTATAGAAAGTGTAAACTAGGGAACATTCCAGCGGTATAGAAAGTGTAAACCAGGAAATATTCTAGTGGTATAAAAAGTGTAAACAAGGAAACATTCCAGCAGTATAGAAAGTGTAAACCAGGAAATATTCCAGCGGTATAGAAAGTGTAAACCAAGAAATATTCCAGAAGTATAGAAAGTGTAAACCAGGAAATATTCCAGCGGTATAGAAAGTGTAAACCAGGAAATATTCCAGCGGTATAGAAAGTGTAAACCAGGAAATTCCGAGGATATCAATCTGAATGTTTGGTTACACTTTGGAAGGTTTCTTTTCAAAAACCAAAATCAATATAAAGTAGTACGAAATAGAAATAAAATTTGGGAATATTAGGTCCAGATGAAACACCTACAGAGCTTAATTTCATAAAATCATAATGACATCACAATGATCACATTGACGTATAAACCAAACTGTACCATTAGATGTTTTTTCATCTGCAATTTCTGTGCAATAATGCCAAGTTCTTTTTCACGTTCAATCCGTTTGGTCAGTTCCTTGTATTTCTTTTCCTTTTCTTTAGCCACTTCCTGAAATATGAGATGAATTTCAGCTAAAGGATTTGAAAACAAGGCCGACATCTAAAACCTAAACAAAACATTCACTCATCCTCGTTAAACATGGTTAATCTTAGAGAAACAAAGAATCGTGTTTCCCTATTAAAATGTTTTTAATAAACGCAGATTTACTTCTTCACTTATCACAAAATATATTCTTATTCATGATACTATCAGAAGTATGTTTTCTTCAAAGTCACAAGTACCAGATACAATTTAACTTCCCATTGTGATAATTAAATCTTGTATGCTACTTAAACAAATGTAATACACCATCATGTTTGTTTCAAAATCCCTGAGAAAAGTGGTGACTTGTTTGATGTAAAGCATCGGGAACAACAAAACATTCGCATTTTCAAGATGGTTAAATGGTTCCAATATCAAATGCAAAGAAGGTAAATTCATGTGAGTCTTTGCAACGGTGAACTATACACACAAGGGGAATGTTTGAAAAAACAGTCTGACACGTCAAGTAGCCATCAACCAAGTTTTATAGAAACATGCAAAACTCAAGTCCGAAAACAGTCATTTTTTCCAAGAACAATATCTGATTGGAACCCCCACCCCGATTTCTCTAAACTTACAAAATTGACTGCCTTCAAATCCGCCATTGCAAGACTACCATAAATTTGTAATCAGCCTTTTTATTTATTTACTGTTATTATTTTATTTACATACCAGGTAGTTTTCTATTTTACTTTCTTCCCTCTCATTATGCAACGATCTCCAATTACATAATCTGTTGAAGGCGGTTGTTATTAGTAGAAGTTACATTGCTGCAGTTTAATCTTAAGCCTTTTTTTTTAGTCCGCATTGAGGGCGAATTTATCATCAAAGTGAATATGAATACACAGCGACAAAGGAACATGCGACAACAATTAAAACAGGGTGAAAATAAATTTTACAGGACAAAGGGCAAAATGTTTGACAGTGCGAACGTTTCCAGATAGACAGTGGTTATGTCAACTGAAAGTATGTGTGCATCTCGTGGAAACTTTTGATTGACACTTCATACAGCTTGGTTTGAAAGTGTGCTTCAAGTCAGGTAATTGTTTTACCGATTAACTTTATATATAGTGTGTTAAAAAAGAATAAGAGAGATTTCTGTTTTCTGGCGACCATATTTTCTTCTGATCAAGCAAAATGAAGCTCAAAACATACTTTGCAAAACTAGCGAATAGCAAGAAGTTATTTATGCATTGCCAAGAATTTCAAATATGAAATTTGAATTCTTTTCGCATCAGTCTCAAGTTAAGCATGCACAACAATAGACAAAGGGAAATCTATATATGAAGTTAGTTGAGAAACTGCCAAAATCGAAGATGGCTTTCTGGTGGCCATCTTGATTTCCAATCATTCTCAAATGAAACATGCACAAGTATGTACTTGAATCATTCTCCATGTTTTAGGTGAGGAAAACACTTTTGAGAGAGTTAACATGTATATAAAAGGATTTAAGATACCTATCTTACAGAGTGGAGTTACTTGACTGACCAGTCACTTTTAAGTTTATCCAACAGCACTGTGCTGTAATCAGATGTATCTCTAGGAAGGCTAGCAGAAGTCACTTCAATGCACTTTGACCTTACCTCTAGTTCTGATGGGTCAGTGGGCGACGTTATCTGCCCTGCTTGTAACATCTGTGTGGTGGATCTGTTGTACGCCCGTCCAAGCAGGGAGGGATGGGTGTTGAAGTGCTTTGCTGCATCAAATTTCTCGACTGAATGATGAACAAATTTATTTTGAGTATTTATGTGAACAGTCATCCAATATAACTTCGAATAAACTTCAAATTTTCTTGAGACAACAAGACTTTATATAAAGTTTACAGAAAACGAAATCTTCTTCACACAATTTCAGACCTGTGGTTATTCTAGGAATTTGTGCTGCACCAAAACAAAGATGTTCTCTTTACAAAACCATGATCTATAAACTTCAAATCTTTGCATAAACTTTGAAAATTAAATACTAGTTTACATAAATACAGTTTTCATGGCTACAAACAACTTAACACGGCCCTAATAGTAATAACATGACTCTTACATGGCTAACAAGCAATTCGGATTGATATGTCTCGCCTGTACCCAGCTTTGACCATCAATGCACAATGTCAAGTTTGGTAAAAAGCAAAAACTTAATGTTGATGGAGATGCTGACAAAGTCAATGGACCATGAAAGGTAAGCCGCATCCAGCATTTGATGCATGGGTTGAGATGTACCACCTAAGATGCATCTATGGTCCAAGTTTGGTTGGTGTAGCACTTACATTTTCTGGTTGGTGAAGCACTTATACTTTCAGTGAAACTAATTATATAACTTAACCCCAAAAACGTAATGTTGATGCTGCCGTCGCCGGATAAGCAACACCTAAGTCCCGCTTCCACTATATTCTGGCGGCGAGACAAACATCAATATACAGTAAAAACCCACTTCCTCGAACTTGGTTTACTCGAATACCCCTCATTCATCGAACAGTTTGTTTGGTCCCGACCAAGTTCGTGCAAATTCTTTGTAAAGTAACCCCAGATTACTCAAACCGTTATTCCTCGAATACCCCATTTGTCCCCCAGCTCTTCATGGTCATAGTATTAATCCTATCTTTTTGCCGAACAAGTGTGACTTGTCACGCCCGACAGAAATTTTACCTGTGTATTTACTATTACACCTAAGACTATAGTTTACCAGTATCTGACAGCGACATGCTTAATAATAGCAAAAGTACCGTTTTACAATATGTATGTATGTTGAATTATTACCACTCAAGATTCGACAGATATACACATGACGATATATGACCAGCCTCGGATTACTCAAATACCATATATTCCTCGAACTATTGATCTGTGCCCCATGAGTTCGAGTAAGTGGGGTTTTACTGTAAAACATTCCATGTTAGAATTATCTAAGAAAAGGTCCTTACAGATGCAAGGAATAATGGCAACAAGACTGTAGCACCAAAACAATTTACCATCTTTCTCTGAATCCACAAAAATTACGTGTTGGTTTTTCGGTTTATCTTCGCTGTCAAGGAGATGCAAAGAGGCCTTCAGCTTCTCTATTTTCTGTCAAAATTTCAAAATCACAAATATGAGTAGACGTTCTCTCTGCAGTAATTGTCTGCATACATGGTTATACAATCATTTTTAACAAGAGGCCCAAGGACCTTAGCAGTCACCTGAGTTATATCATAGGTACTGGTAGCTTAATTTTATTGTTTAGATGTGATGTGGGAATCAGCATGTAAACTAAAATGAAATACAATACTTGTCATGTCATCAAAGGATAAGAATTTGAAAATATTGGAAAATGTTCCCTTTGGGGCCCCGCCCTAGCCCCTGGGGATGGGGCAGGAATCCCAATTTTACAAAGTAATACTCTCATTCGCCAAAGATGATTCTGACTAAGTTTGAGTAATTTTCTGCTGAAAATGGATAAAATATATACCCAAAAGTGTTATTTCCCTATATAAACTATAGTAAACTTTACCCCCTCCCCAAGGGAGAACGGATAGCCCGGGGGGTCTGAAATTTACGATTTAAATAAAGCCCCTGATGATTTTCTTTCCATGCAGAATATATATCAAGGTCATTTATTTGAACAAACTTGGTAGCCTTTCATCCCAGCATGTTACTGGTCAAATATCATCACCCTAGGCCTCTTGGTTATTCAGAAGAAGTTGTTTAAAGATTTTAATATATTTTACCCCTGTGACCTTGAAAATGGTTGAAGGTCATTTATTTGAACAAACTTGGTAGCCCTTTATCCCAGCATGCTTCTGGCCAAATATCATTACCCTAGCCCTTTTGGTTACTGAGAAGAAGTTGTTTAAACTTAAAAGTTGACGACGGACGGACGGACCATGCACGGGCTTCGGGCCAGGTGAGCTAAAAACGATTACCCCAAGAATAACGATTCTCAGGGCTCTTGCTGCTGGGCACCAGGTAACCCAATATCTTTAAGGCTTTTTGCACCAAATTAAACAAGAGGCCCAATGGGCCTGCATCGCTCACCTGTTATTAATCTAACACTTGTAATCTTAAGATTTCATAAGAACCTATTAAAAGATTTAAACATATGACGCCTCTGACCTTGATTGTCGAACAAGGACATTAGGTTGAAAGTGGATCAAGGTCATTCATTTGAACTAACATGGTAATCCTTCATCCCAGCATGCTACAGGCCCAATTTCAGTACCCTGGCCCTTTTGCTTATTGAAAAGAAGTCGCTTGAAGATTTTACGACATTTGACCCCTGTGACCTTGAAAGTTGGTCAAGGTCATTCAGTTGAACAAACTTGATAGTCCTTCATCCCAGCATGCTACAGGCCCAATATCAGTACCCTGGGCCTTTTGGTTATTGAGAAGAAGTTGTTTGAAGATTTTAAGACATCTGACCCCAGTGACCTTGAAAGTGGGTCAATGTCATTCATTTAAACAAACTTGGTAGCCCTTCATCCCAGCATGCTACAGGCCCAATATCAGTACCCTGGGCCTTTTGGTTATTGAGAAGAAGTCGTTTGAAGATTTTATGACATTTGACCCCTTTGACCTTTGAAAGTTGGTCAAGGTCATTCATTTGAACTAACTTGGTAATCCTTCATCCCAG